CTGAATCTAGTCTTTACTTGAAATTAGTATAATTGGTTACCTATAACTGTCCCAGATCCGTTGGTTAACGTTGACATCTATCATCCTCCGATATCTTTCTCTTGTTGCATTGCCGACCAACCATCTATTGACGAGCCCCTTTTCTATCGTTTTGATTTTAAAAGGGCGAATTTTGCAATGCTAAATGATTTGTTTTCTTCTTACGACTTCTCTCCAGTATTTAACTTTATCGATATTGAATCCATGAGGGGTAAGTTTTATGAAATCATTTTTGTTGGGTTTGAATTATTTATTCCAATATTGAAATCTACAGATGCTGACTCTGGCCCTCCAGGGTTTGCATAAGAGTTAAGAGGAACTTCGCAACAAAAAAAATAAGTTGTGGCGCAAATATCTTAAGGCGACAGGGAGTATCATAATTTTCGATTATCGTACGATCAATTTAAATTAGCAGCAAAAGGACGTTACGACTACTATAAAATTTAGAATAATTTAATAAATAATTCCAAAGTTTTTTGGAACTTCATAAACCATAAGAGGAAAAATGACAGTTATTCAACCTTTTTGAAATTCGGCGAAAATACAGGTAATAATTCCAAAGCTATGTTAACGACTTTCGGCACATTGATAACTATCCTAAAACTACCGTTACAAATTTTGTCACGAACTCTTGCAGTTGAAAAATATCTTTCCGATTTGAGTTCTAGCCCTTGTCCTGGATCAGATGGAGTTCCTGAGATTATTTTAAGCCGTTGTATGCCATTTATTAGTGGACGCCAGCATGGCTTCTTGAAAATGAAATCCACGGTGACTAATCTGGTGGAAGCCAGACAGACATAATTTACACAGATTTTAGCAAAGTCTTTGATATTCTACCACATGACGTTATAATTTTAAAATTAAGGCTCCTAGGATTGCCTGATAACTTCTTAGCCTGGATAAAATCATATCTCTTTGGTAGGACTTACAGAGTTCTCTTTCGTTCAGCAATTTCCTCGCCTCTTTCGTCTAATTCTGGTGTCCCCCAGGGTAACTACTTAAGTCCACTGTTTTTCATAATCTCAATTAATGATATTGTTTCCATGTTGGCGCACAGTGAAGTATTAATATATGATATGAAAATTTTCAAAAAGATAGGCTCTGCAAATGATGCGATGTATTTGCAGAATGATCTTAACCGTTTTTACGGATGGTGTTCAAGTAAAAACCAAAAATCAATGTAAGTGAATGTGCACAAATATGCTACTTTAGGCAAAACGGCCATTTTTAGCAAGCTATACTTTGAATGGTCAAGCTCTTAGTCGAGTTATTCAATAATGGACCTGGGTGTTTGCTTTAATAATAAGTTAACGTTCATAAATCACTACAATCATATCATATGCTGTTCAATCTCGATGTTAAGTTTCACTATCAAAGGAGTTTAACGATCCTTATGTCTTAAAACCGCTCTGCATGTGCCTTGTCCGTCTTCGTCTTGAATATGCTTCGCAAGTGTGGTAAGCCTATTATGACATACATATTAACAGGATTGAGTCTATTCAAAAGTATTATTTTAGGTGCGCACTGCGCCTTTTTCCTTAGGAAGACCCCATTATTCTTCCATCTTATGAACACACACTCAAATTAATAGATTTACCCACACTGGACAAAAGACGTGATGTTGCGGATTTGTTATTCATTTTTCAGCTTATGAAAACTGACTTAATCTCTCTCGAAATTTTAAATAAAATTGTGGCTAACTCTAACTGTAGGTCTCGTTCCCATAATCTTTTCATGGCTCCTTTTCATATAACCATTTATGGGAAAAATGAATCTGCTAGCAGATTGCTACGTTTATGCAAAAAAAACACAGACTTGACTTTTCTACTGACGAAAGATGTAATGAAAAAGCTTCTATTTACTTATAATTAGGTATAACTTTTTTTTTATTTTAACAAATTCTTGTTTTTGTATATTACATATTTAATGGAGTATCTATACTTATAAGTTTTATTTTGTATAATTTTTTAATTTAATTTTCACATAAAAAATTTGTTACAGTCTGAAAAAAGAAAAATGTGTATATATGTATACGTATGTATATGCATTCTTTAATTTTGATTTATGTAAAATGTTTGAGCTAAACATAATAAATAAATAAATTATATTCTATTCTAAATCAATTACTTAATTTTAAGGTTTTGTGGAATTTTTATAATCAAATATTATAAAAAAACTTTTAAAAAAGAGAAAAACTAAAGTTTTTTTCGAGATTTAGAAAATATTTTACAAAATAATTTAATTTCTATTCTCGTAATATTTTATAAATATATACACATATGTATGTATGTAAATTGTAAACAGAATACTAGGTTGGCCTCGGATAAAGCTTGAAAAAACTTTAAAAAGAGAAACAATGACGAAATTTCTCGCAAAAAGCAAAAATTGGTTATTTTATTTTTAATATTTAAGACTATTATTGTTGAAAAATTTTTTTTTTATCAAAAATAAAACCATGTGAAACAACCAAGAAAAACATATGTTTCGACAGCTGTTAGATTTTAAAAGTTTTTAAAAATTTTCTCATACAAGACAAACCCATTATGTTAATATTCTCATAAGTAACGCAGGAAAATCAAAATATATATTTATGTATAATTTAATCTGAATGTCACTTTGATGTTCTTATATATTTTTTGCAATATAAATACAACAAAAATTACATTTTATAAAAATTTTTTAAAATTTATAAAAATTTTATAAAAATTATAGAAATTTAAAAATAGGTATAAGATTCAATTAGTATTTGAACTTTTATTTTAAGAGCTCTTATATTAAATTTTTTCATAGCACCTGTAGTATAGGTATGAAATACATTATGTGCTCCGTTTGAGCACATTCGCATAGAATAAAAAAAAAAATCTGATGTGGTCAGCACATAACCAACCGCAAGTGTATTGTCTAGTTAAGTGAAAGTATTACAGAATATTATAAAAATGTCTGTTAAATACTTCTTTCCAATTTTTAGGACATTAGTAAGCTTATAGTTAACATATCTAGAAAAATGTAAATTTTGCTCTTAGTAAAGTTTCGCTTTGTGCTACCCGAATTCCCTGAAATGCTCGCCAGTTAGTTTTGGTAACAACCAGAATTTAAATATCAAATTTCAAGAAATTCCATCAATTCATTCCGTAGATATGGTGAAAAATGTAAAATCGGCCCGCAGATCAGTTTTCGAGCCCTGATCCTTCCGAAAAAATTTATATGTTCATTGTTTCAATACGAAGAACTTAAATATTAAATTTCATTGAAATTGGTTGATTATTTCTCTTTATATACGCAAAAACGTATATTTGGCCCGTAGTAAACGAACAGTTGCTGATGCCTAATTTCTTCCAAAAGTTAGGAATTTTTGCGTACGGTCGAGCAAAGCTTATATATGAGATTACAAGTAAATCGGTTGAATATTTTCTTCAAAATGTTCAAAAATGTAAAACAGGCCCGCTAAAAAGTGCAGTTCCCGAGGCCTGATATGTCCCAAAAGTTGATCAATCCGTGCCATGGCCGAAATAAACTTACATATAAAATTTCATCAAAATCGGTTCAGCCGAACTCGAGATACACGCGTGCACACACAGACCGATAGACCGACAGGTTGCTGAAAACAGTTTATTTACATTTCCCTACTATGGAGAGGTGCATTCCCACCGAAAACTCGATATGCAAAATTTGTTGCCATCACATAACCTACCTATTGTATACACAATACGGTCGGTAATGAAAACATGCAAAAAGCTATTGTAAAAGATTTATGCTTAAAAATTGTCACACAATTTGGATTTTTTTCGAATTGTCAGTTACGGTATCTTCGGAATTGCATCTACGACACATCAGAAATATTAGTTCTGTCTTGGATAAAACTTGAAAAAACTTTTAAAAGAGAAACAATGACGAAACTTTTCGCAAAAAGAAAGAAAACTGCTACGTAAAAAAAAAATAAACCAGACAGAAAACTTGAAAAAACTTTTAAAAACTTTATAAATATACTTTATAACTTTATATTTATCAAATATAAACAAATATTTTTTGGTTATACTTAAAACTGAAAATTTTGATTTTGGATTATAAAAATGTGAAACTTAGAAATAATCATTTGTGAACTCTTTTTGGTTATTTTAATTTATTTTTAATTGAAATGTTTTGAAAAATAATTATTGTTAATTAAAAATTTTTTTTCAAAAATAAAACCTTCTGACGCAACCGAAAAAAATATATGTTTCGGTAGCTGTAAAATTTGAAGTTTTTAAAACACTAAATTTTACTTTACAAGAATTGAAAAAACTTTAAACATTGTGAAAATGACAATGCCATCATTTTCTCTCATTTTTGTTCAAAAAGTATTATCCCAGGCTTTGCATGCAACTTATATTTCAAAAACTTTCTTATCCCAGACAGACCTATTGTATTATCTTCTGAACTATCAACAAAAAAATTTGACTATGTTATGTTCAGATTTTATCATAAGAGCATAAGAACATTTCATATTTGTCATCCGAAAGTAAACACATTTTTTTGTTTAAATAACACTCTTGACTTCTTGTTACTTTACATATTTTATTAAATGATTTGTAAATGATTTATCAGTGAAAACGATAATGAACATAATATAAGCCACCATTCTTAAACCCATCATATGCTCGTAATAAAATTTCCTTACTAAGACATCCATGCACGAAAATTGAATTTCTTCCTTTTATTTAAAAAAAAATCAAAAATTTAAGAAACACATGATCTGAGATTCATCTCTTTTCTTTTTCTCATATTAAGAGCTTCATTTGGTATCTTTTTTGTCATAAGTTAATTTAATACATTTTACTGGAAATATAATCCAAACGTTCTTCTTAATTATAAATTAAATTAACATTATAGTTTTTACGTCATATTTTGGATTTTTTGTAAAATTTATTTTAATTCCTTCCTTTAACATTTTAGTACATATTATATAAATGATAAATTTGGAACAAGCGTAAAAAATTAATTTATTGCATTTTTAGTTATTATTATTATATAAATATGTATTTGAGCTAATAATTTATAAATTTTAATTATTTTAACATTCGAACTAAATACAGATAACTGAACTGCAATTATTCACCTGTAAACTGCAATTATTCATCTTCTTCCGCAATGACTGAAGTTTTCAAAGCAGATTCTTTCCTCAAAAGTAGTTCCCTGTAATGCTAAAAAATATGTTTTCTTATTTTATTAATAATAGTCGTTACTATAATAATTATATTTTATTTTAATTAAATATTAAGTTTCACTGTCAAATGAAATTAATTGTATAAATAGTTATCTTATGTTAAGAAGCATAAAATAGGTTATACTTAGAGATTGTTATTTCTCGTACTTTCTATAATCTGGAGAAATGAGAATTCTCATTATGGCAATTTTTACATTCTCGAGATATGAGAAATTTGTTAATATTTTCTTGAGAATTCTCGAGAATTTTCAATAAATAAAAAACAGAATTTTCCATTAGATTAGATTTTTTTTTGTTATATTAAAAACAACTTTAAATAAACACATCCTTATGTCAAAAGAATAACAAAAATAATACATTTTAACTTTTAAATATTACATAACAAAAAAATTTTGCTTATTATTTGAAATATTGCCAATTAGCTTTCCGGATCATTTGGCCGATTTATTCTGCCCGCATGACAGTCAGGGTGTGTATGAAAATGAAGAATCTGCTTTTGTTGAGGACAGCGTGACTATTCCAATTGTCAAGGAAAGAGATGTTATAGAGGAAATCAGGCCACGGGATTTGACCTAATAACGGCCGAACGGGTATAATGATGCTTACGCGCCTACTAAATGCGTGTATAAGGTTTAATTACGTGCCTGACATTTAGAAAGTTGCAGAGATAATTATGCTGCACAAAACTGGCAAACCTATAGACAGGCCGACTTCTTATAGACCAATCTCATTGTTGCCGATAATTTCAAAACTGCTAGAGAAAAGTTTATTGAGAAGGTTTCAGCCAATAATTGAAAGTAAAAAGTTAATCCCGAATAATGAATTTGGTTTTCGAAAAATTCACTCAACCTTGGATCAGATTCATCGAATAACTGACCTAATAAAAAATTCACTGAAAGAAAAATCTATATGTTCTATCATATTTTTGAACGTAGCTCAGGCCTTTGATAAGGTTTTGCATTCTGGATTTATAACAAAACCTAGACAATTACTACCAAGGCAGTATGTTAACCTGCTCGAATCTTACCTGACTAACAGGGCATTTCGAGTTAAACAGGAAGAGGAGTATTCTTCGCTTGGGAATATCAGGTCGCGGGTACCACAGGGGAGTATGTTGGCCCCGATATTATACTTGCTATACACGTGTGATATTCCTGAATCGGAAAGAGTGACAACAGCTACATTTGCTGATGATATAGCAGTTCTCGCAATAGGACGAAATTAAAATGAATCTACCCAAAAATTACAAAAGGCTAGTGACGAGATCTCAAAAAGGACTAGAAAGTGGAATATAAAACTTAACGAGGTGGAATCAGTACACGTGAATTTCACTAATAGGAAAATTGACAATTCATTTTCGGTTCGGATAAATGGCGTCTTGGTATTTGGGAATGACGTTGGCCCAAAGCTTAGATGGAAGGAGCACATAAAGAAAAGGAGATCTCAATATGTTTATGACAATATGTTTATGACAATATGTTATATGACAACAAAGTTTTAATATATAATCAAATATTTAAGCCTGTCTTAGCTTGCGGTATTCAGTTATGAGGCCAATCTATTCAAAGATTTCAAAATAGGATATTATGGGACATTGTAAACGCCCCTTGATATGTCCGTAATGCGATATACACAGGGATCTCACGATCTTAAGTGTCAATTAAAATGAAATTAAAAAGCAAGCAGCCAATTATAAAATGCGTTTATCTAATCTTGTCAACATCGAGGGGGCTCGATTGGTTGACAATCAAAACTTTATTAGGAGACTTAAACGTACGAGACCTCTCGAGTAAGCATAATGTTTTTTCTTGTAAATAACCAAAAATAATTTAAACCGACTAGTTTTATCATTTATTTCGAGGAGGGTGTTTTTCAGTGGATTAAAGTTCCACACTACTGCTTTTCGTCGGTAAAAGAAAAAAAAAAAGTCGCTTATGTCAGAACAATTATTTGTAGTAAGAGTAAAATAAAAATTTGAAAATAACTTTAGCTGTTAAAAGGTTTGTATCGTGTCGGTTAGGTGCCTCAACCTCTATTTTAACTGGTTAGTCGACATTTTAAAGTAAATTTTAATGTCCGACACAGTTCATTATATACATAGTTCCCCAATAGTTCCCCAGAAAACCAAACTGTACTAAAAATAAAGTTTTTAAAATAGTTTTAGTTCCAACAACCAGATTGCTCTATAACATATAACTTATATTTACCGACCGTATTGTGTATACAATAGGTAGGTTATGTGATGGCAACAAATTTTGCATATCAAGTTTTCGGTGGGAACGTACTTCCCCATAGTAGGGAAGTGTAAATAAACTATTTTTAGCAACCTGTCGGTCTGTCGGTCTGTCGGTCTGTGTGTGCACGCGTGTATCTCAAGTTCTACTGAACCGATTTTTATGAAATTTTAATTGCCTGTTTTACATTTTTGCACATTTTGAAGAAAATATTCAACCGACTTACTTGAAATTCCATATATGAGTTTTGTTCGACCGTACGCAAAAATTTCTAACTTTTGGAAGAAATCAGACATCGGCAACTAGACGTTTACTACGGGCCAAATATACATTTTTGTGTATATAAAGAGAAATAATCAACCGATTTCATTGAAATTTAATATATGAATTACTCGTATTAAAACAATGAACATATGAAGTTTTTGGAAAGATCAGGGCTCGAAAACTGATTTGCGGCCGATTTTACATTTTTCACAATTTTGAAGAAAATATTCAACCGATTTACTTGAAATTCCATATATGAGCTTTGCTCGACCGTACGCAAAAATTTCTAACTTTTGGAAGAAATCAGACATCGGCAACTAGACGTTTACTACGGGCCAAATATACATTTTTGTGTATATAAAGAGAAATAATCAACCGATTTCATTGAAATTTAATATATGAATTACTCGTATTAAAATAATGAACATATGAAGTTTTTGGAAAGATCAGGGCTCGAAAACTGATTTGCGGGCCGATTTTACATTTTTCACCCTATCTACGGAACGAATTAATGGAATTTCTTGAAATTTGATATTTGAGTTCTGGTTGTTACTGAAACTAACTGGCGAGCATTTCAGGGAAGTCGGGTAGCACAAAGCGAAACTCTGCTAAGAGCCAAATTTACATTTTTGTAGGTATGTTAACTATAAGCTTACTAATGTCCTAAAAATTGGAAAGAAGTACTTAACAGACATTTTTATAATATTCTGTAACACTTTCACTTAACTAGACAATACACAATGCGGTCGGTTATGTGCTGACCACATCAGATTTTTTTTTACGTTTTTGTTGTATATTTAGTTTGTGTGAATTTTTAAAAAAATTCCCCAGAAATAATTAATTTTTTCTCGAGAAATCAGAATCTAGAAAATAACAATTCTCAAGAATTGTACTAAATACCAAAATAATACAAATTCTCGAGAATTCTCGAGGCAGATTTTTTTATAAATTACAAGCAAATAACAACAATTTCAGAACGGCGAAGTAAGATTTCAAGAGACCTGCTTATCTTGGAAAATTTAAAATTGTTGTTTCTCGAACAAATTAAAGAAAAAATCGTGTGAGAGTGAATATTTAATTTCTTAAGAGTAAAAAACTATGTAAACATAAACAACATTTTAAACAATTAATTACTTTTTTTTCTATGTATTATTTTTGATACTGAATCCACTTTAGACTTTTTGGACTACTTGTACACGTAAAGAAAATTAGACTTTTTGCCATTTTCCATTTTACCAAAATTTTTAAAGGGAAAAAATATAATTTGCGTTACTTCTCTTCTTAAATGATAAAGTTTTTCATGAGATCTATATGTAAAAACTAGAAGATGGCACATAATCTAATAAAGGTGGGTCAAGCCAATGGTTTGTGTTGTAGCACTTTTCCCTTCAACTGCTTCTAAAAACAATGTAAGTATACCTAATATACTATTAAAATTACTTTTATTCATATACAAAACTCAGTCTTGTGCGTGTGAGGCTATATCATCGGGGAAGCCTACGTATTGGCCTACAGATTTGAATAAAATTCCAGACCTAATAGATTTTTACGTTATAAAAAATATATCCAACAACTATATGCATGTCGAAGATAACTTAGAGATAACTTCGGATCATTTACCAGTGATACTTACATTAAGTGAACATATTATCTTCAAACCAAGCAACCCAAGTTTAGTTAATAAAAAGACTGATTGGGAGTCCTTTAAAATAATGTTAGAAGAAAGAATTGATTTGAATGTGTCAATACAGACTGAAGAGCAATTGAATTTTGAAATAGAAAAATTCAATAATGATATTCAGATTTCATCATGGGATAATACTCCAATCATAACCCATAAATTAAAACAAAATAACTATCCTAAAGAAATTCTAGAAATGATTGCTGAAAAGAGAAAAGCAAGGAAGAAATGGCAGCAGACTAGAAATCCTCAAGACAAAACCATACTGAATAATCTTACAGCACAGCTCAGTTATGAAATTAAAAAACTAAAAAATGAAACAATAAATGCATTTCTTAGGAATCTTACTAATGAGTCTAGTACTGAATATTCATTATGGAAAGCCACTAAAAATCTGAAAAGACCAATAATGCAGACCTCACCTATAAGGAATATAGATAATAGCTGGGCAAGAAATAACGAACAAAAAGCGACGAGATTTGCCGATCATCTTGAGGAAATATTTCAGCCAATCTCATCAGACAATATTGAAGTATTACAGGAATTGGAAGAACAAGAAAATGGTAATATTGCTTTCGTAACTTCAAGTGAGGTCAAGAACGAGATAGCACAAAATATTAACCCAAAAAATGCTCCGGGTTTTGATCTTATTACTGGTCAAATTCTGAAGGAACTTCCTAAGAAAGCTATAACCAAGCTAACTAAACTGATCAATGCATCATTTAGATTGCAATATGTACCACAATTATGGAAGATAACTGAAGTAATCATGATCCCAAAACCTGGAAAACCACCTCA